CGGAAGCCTCGCGGGTGATGAGCTTGATGCTCTGGACAACACCGTCGACGACGACGTGCTCAATGCCGGAGTATTCACCCTCGGTGTTCTCACGGATCAGGACGGTGTCGACGTTGTCGTAGGGGGTCTTGTAGCCGGCAATGGAGCGGCAGGGACGCACGTTGGCGAAGAGGTTGAAGGTACGACGGAGGGTGAGGTTGAGAGAGACGTGTCCCTTACCCACAGGGGTCTGTTGAGGGTGCTTATTAGCCCATGCTTCGATGGTAGCAACCGTAGAATGCGGAACTTACAGCGAGGGGACCCTTCAGGGCAACGTAGTTCTTCTGCACGCTCTTGATGGCCTCATCGGGAATGGCGGTCTTGCCGTCCTTCAGGATGGGAGTGACATCGACGGGCTCCCACTTGACAGGGGCCTGAATAATGATATTGGTGAGTATTGGGTGATGCGACACACAGATAGTCGAGAATGGGAGAGCTTTACATTAGCGGCAGCGAAGATGTCCTTCACCGACTGGGAGATCTCGGGGCCGATACCATCACCCTCGATCAGGGTAACAGTGTATTTTCCCTATAACGAAATCGTTAGAGCCATGTTTAGGTGGATTTCCGTACAATATTGTTTGCGAATCCAGGGAAAAAAGGAGGAACTGTCGATGATCGCGGCGGAAGTTGCCGGACCAAAGGACATGGACGGGCAGGTATGGGGAAAAAAAGTTCAGGCGGTTGGCCCGGAGCGCGACATACATCAGAACCCTTCTGTCCCTTGAACTTAGCGACGCGCTCGTCGGCAGCGGCGGAGTAGGAGCGAAGCTATACAAATGGTCAGTTCCAGAGATCCAGCTTGTCGCAGAACGGACGGGGACAAAGGCTCTGTCCGATCCTTACCTGAGAGAGAGGCGACACAATGCGAGGGGACACACGTGTGGTCCGCAAGCATTGGCGGGCGGGAGCGACAAAGTTTCTAGCAGCGATCATTGTGACAGATCCCCGGAAATACAACGACGGACAGGCGAAGGGATAAAATTAAAGGATTGGTGAGGAAAGAGGGGAGAGGTGAGGAGAGAAAGAGGAGAGAGAGTAGGTGGAGAGGAGAGGAGAGGAGAGGAGATGGGAAGGATGGGAAGGGAAAGGCGGCGGGCACGGGCGGTCGGTGCGGGCGGACTGGCTTTGCTGTGTGAAAGCAGTTTGAACCTGAAAGAGTGTGAACTTCCCTGCCCAGTCTCGGCAGCGCCGCTCCCGGTCCGACCAGACCAGCCATCCAGGCATGCCGTGTGTGGCCGTTTTGTTTTGGCCAACTGGACCCACGATCAGATAACTGACGAGGCTAACGAGGCTACGTATTCCGAGTCTCCGACCGTCCCTTGTCCTTGTCAGGCCTGCCAGGTGGTGATGCAGCACTCCATGCAGCAGTAACCTACTCCATAGTGCTGGAAAACACGGCACGTTCTACGGAGTAGCTTTATCCACTACTCATGCTATCCTTGCCTTCTTAGGAAATCTGACTTCTCTCTTTTCCACGCTTGCTCCACTATCTCACCTAGACTACCTATACTGTACAGCTCAGCTGCGTGTGACTGTATGACCCTGTGACAGCCTAATTGTCTTCTCCTTAGTCTGTCGCACCCTTAGCACGACCACGACCACGACCACAACCACTACCACCACCTCCTCCTCCTCCTCACCACCCTCCTCCCTCGGCCATCCCGTTTGTCTTCACCATGGCCGAGGTCGACGTGGCCAGCTACTATAATCTCCCATCGGCTTATCCTGAAGAATGGCCCGCAGAGTTAGACGAAAGCGATCCAGAGGAGGCCGAGGCGCTGGAACGACGCGGCTCCCGCTCGGAGCGATCTCGCTATTTCGCCTTGGAACGCAACAACAGCACTCGAAAGAGTGTCACCCTAGGCTCATTCAAAGGCAATAATGGGCGGGAGAATCTCAAGGTGGACGAACCGGATCCCCTGGGAATGGGCGATAGCGTGCTCAAGATCCTCAAAGCTCGAGGCTTATCTCTGGACGAAGAAAGCCGTTTACGAAACCAATTCTTGCTCTCTTCAACCTCGTTCTCTCCTTCACTGTTTCTTTCTCAGGTGCATTCCGATGCGTCGATACAATCCCTCCTCGATGGCCTCGATTGTCTCTCCCGATCCATCGACCAGAAGTCCGCATCCCTCAAAGTCCTCGTCGAAGCGAACTTTGAGCGCTTCGTCCGAGCAAAGGCCACGATCGATAGCGTCTATACGGAAATGAAAACTCAAGGTCAGAAGGAGGAATTGTTAAGCCCTCAAGGTCACCGCAGGTCGGTTGGACATTTCCGAAACCTTTCCGGTAGCAGGCACAGCATCTCCACTGCCGCCATTGCAGAGGTTGGACCCGGAAAGAATGCTCTCACCAAGGAGAGCGAGTACGGCATGAAGGGTATCCGGGTGCCTCTGCTGGAAGCGTCCGTTAAGGCCGAGGAGGTGTGGGGGCCAGCTTTGGGCGGTCGCGAGAGAGAGCAGGTGCTGAAATCAGTAGTGGAAATGATGGAGAAACACCGGGATATCTACGAGATCGGCGGGCAACTCTCTAAGTCGATCAAGCAGCGAGATTATGATTCCGTGTTTGAGCAATTTCGCAAAGCCCGCTCTCTTGCGAAGACCGCTAAGAACATCGCCGAAACCGCGACAGGGAGGGACCGGCCACTGACCGATGAGGAAACGCACGTTATCTTAGCCATGGGAAGAATGTGGATAGATGTGGACCAGCAGATTCAAGCATTCAAGCGTGATCTGTGGAGGCGTTTGAGCGACGCGCCTACAACATCGACGACCATCACAGCAACTGGCCCAGTCGAGGAGCACATGGAGTTGATATGTGCTCTTCTAGAATTAGGGGTGGATGACAATCCTATCTGGGTCTGGCTTCTGAGCCGATATGATTTTCTCAAGACCAAGATCATAGCTTTCTGCGAGCGTTGCAAATCAGAGATAGAGATCTTGAGACGTCGGCTTGCTAGCGGTGAAAAACCGACACCTCAAGCAGTGGCCTCATATCTACGCCTAGCACCACGCGATAATTCAAAAGAGAACGAGTCAATGCGAGATACCGATCAGGTGACTGAGTTGTGGGGGTGCATCAATACCTACTTGACCAGGCTTTTGTCTTCTCAGGGGGGCCTTCTCGGTGAGGTTTTCGATTTCTGGGAGGTAGCGCAATCTTTCATCGACGGCAGCAAGCAAAAGCTTTTACCAGCCGGGTTCGAGGGGGAGAGCCGTAAGCACCACCGGCTGTCCTCTAGTGATGTGAGGGATCTGCAGAAAGGCGCCGTTGAGCTTATTAACTTGATTCGCGAGAGTGTGCTGTCCCTATTTGCTGACCCGCCGGTGGACGATGTGTCTCTCCTCACGTCTCCGATTTCCGCAGCGAGTCCGAATAGCCCAGGAAGCCTCGGAGTGACGCCCACAGAATCGCGGTTCAAGTTGGACCCAAAGAACATGCCCTTTCCCACTCCCAAACGCGGGGAATATTGGGAAGACTATGCTTTCTGGCCGCCCTTTTCGAACTCTGTCAGCGGTGTGCATTATCTCGGTCAATTTTTGGTGACAATTGGAACAGCAGCCAGTGAAATGGCCGCTTTGGAGCCGGTGTCGAATAGCGGCAATACTCACGATCTCCTCAAGTCGCTTGTCAGTGTCGCGCGTGAGCGCTCCGTGCGTGTGGCCTGCGCAGCCTGGGGCAAAGATGCCGAAATTTGCAAGATGCTTGAAGACTGGACACGAGATCCTGAAAGGAGAGATCTGACGAAGATGCCTGGTCTATTCGTTTCCTTCGAGAATGCCATCATTAGTGGCATGCAAAGAATACTCTATATCTCGGAAGCCATGGTGAAGGCGGGCTCTGTAGATATTGTTACACAGCCCTCTAACAAGTTGTTATTCATGGTGCGCGGCCAGTTTGTGTCGAGCGTCTACAAAGCTCTCAGTGGGCTCGTCGAGAATGCGGAACATCCCGCATCTACAGACGGGGAAGATGAGTGGGTTCTGGCTGGACCGACGGTCGCCAAAGCCACAACTGATCCAGCAACATCCCTGCTGATAGCAGACGCGGTTGATGTTCGTGATCGTGTGAGTACTTGCTTGTTTCTCTGACATATCTGACTCGTTGGAAACTGACTGTGACATAGAATGTGCGCCTACTCTTGACTTTATCGAACATCAAGGCCTTCCAGGCAAACCTCGTTCCCCAGCTGGTTGCATACTTTGAGAACTCCTTTTCAGTGAAATTGACCGAAGAGGCGAAGACCATCCGGGACGTACTCGGCCAGATAGAAGATCGTTTGTTCCAATCATACACCAAGCCGACCATCAATAAACTAAACTCGACAATCATTGAGAGCATTGCTGGGCCCGATTGGGAACCAGCTGGTGACTCGCGGCCAGAGCAGGTCCGCCCATATGTGTATAACGCGATGCTGGCACTTGTATTGGTTCATACCGAGATCACAACCACAATTCCATCCACCTTATTGACCACAGGAAATCGCTCACTCTCGGCCGCACAATCGCCTCTGCTATCGGTTATCCTCACATATCTGTTGACCCAAATATCAACGTCTCTTTTGACCGCCTTCAGCACACGGTCCCAGTACACGCTCGCGGCTTTGATGCAAGCGACGCTCGATACCGAGTTCATTGCGCAAACCATGTCCCAATACTCAACTGACGAGGCATCAGCCATCCAGAGTCAGATCTATGTGGAATTGGATCGCCGAACCACTCACGAAGCTCGCGCCCGACTGCAGTCAGAGCTGAGCGAAATGCGGGTCACCCTCAAGCGATTGAGAGAGAGGACCAAGGGGGAATTTGCTTGTTTCAGAAAACCACGCAGCGGCGGAGGGCACAAAACTTCCGCATGAGTATTCTTCCAGACTAGCTATGTTATGCATATGAGTTCTAAACAATCTCACACAACATACATGCGTAGATGCATGCACCCGAGTATGTACAATAAATCAATCAATTTCGAACTCTTATCGTAAGTTCGCGGGTATCATAACTTTTTACCATTCTTGCTCCCTCTTCATGAATCGCGTCCCTTTTCCAAAGCTCTGCCTCGTTTGTTTTTAAGCCGACCCAACCATGCGTTGCACCCGACTCAGCAACACCGTGCTCTCCCTCCCCAGTCTCCTCTTCCCACTCTGATCCGGCTTCTTGGCCCGGGCCATAGCCTCCCGGTCCTTCTGCCGAAACTCCCTCTCCTCCCTCCGCCTCTCAGCCTCCTGCTTCCGTCTCTCCGCCAGCTCTATCTCCTTCGCAAAAGCCGAGGGCTTCGGTTTCCGGACCCGACGGCCCCCCCGCGCATCGCGGCCGCTGTTGTTGTCCGCTCGTTGCGCAGGCTTGGGCTCCGGTTCGGGCTCGTTCAGCATCGCCATGCGGTCCGGGTGCAGTTCCAAGGACGCGGGCTCGACTTCTTCCTCCTTGTTATCATCCTCATCGGCCGTGTAGATGGGCTTGGGCGGCGCCGCCGCCAGCGCTTCGTCGCGGATTTTGGCGTACGCTTTCTTGACCTTGGCTTTTTGGATCAAATCGGACTTGATCTTCTGGGCTGTTTGTTGGGGGGGGGGGGGGGGTGTGCTGGTTAGCGAAGTGTCATGGGGTCTCGAGATGATGGGGTGGTGGAATTGGAGTCAGTGGGAATGACGCAAGATCACTGGGCAAAGTAGTGGAGGAGGGGTTAAGGAAGAAATGCGACATACTTTTGCGACGATAAGTGCCATCGGGTAGATTGGCTGGGCCGACGGAGAAGCCCTTTCGCTTTTTGACTGGCGCATCGGCGGCGGATGGTCGCTTTTCTTCGCGGGTGGTCTCGTCGCGGGTGCGTTTGGGGGCCATGGTGGATTTTTTGAGGTGGTGGTGGTAGTTGTGATGGTTATAGTGTTGGTGATAACTGTTCAAGATGTGATTATGGTTCTTGATACTTTAGGAAGGCGTTTGCTTGTCTGGCCCGGAGTTTCAACGAGACAAAAAAAAATGGACGTGATAAGGCCAAGCCAAGTCAAGACGGTGTAGGTCACTGTAAGAAAGTATCGGGCAACAATTGCGACAACTTGCTGTCCCACCTGATTGTTTCTCTGGGAAAATGGGCCAAAAGAAAAAGTTTAGCAGCAAACGGGGAGAAGAATCCCGTGCCGCAACGACCGCCGGAAAAAGTTGGAGTCGTACAGTACAGAATGGTCCTCGTCAGGTACAGGACTGTAACTGTACAAAGTACATGTACAAGGAAAGGTCGGAGAACTGTAAGTCTTAGTTACAAGGATATTTCGTGAGTTGTCACCAGTAGACAAGTGACACGATATCTCAGGTGCACACAATGTGGCAGAAATTAGAATGCACTTAAGAGGAGGAGCAAGTCATATTTCATATTTCTAGAAGAACTCGTGGGACAAGGAGAGGGGGAAAGCAAGAAAGAGTAAAGACCGTCACGGGAGGTATTGTTTCATTCCGGCCGCCTTTTCGCCCCCTCTCCCCCCCCTGCGGCTTCTCCTCATTCTTATTCTTCTTTTTATGAGCTCGACTACCAACTTAGTTAATGTACCACCACCACCACCACCACCACCACCACCACCCTCATTCTTGCTGCAAACCCTCCCCCAAAGATACTCGCTACCACCGTGTATCTCATCAATTTACTGGCTTGACTGTCCCGGTGGAATTCTTTGCCTGTGTACTTACATATCTTCCGTTTCATCTCGTCCTTGTCTGTCCATCTTGATCGGTTTAGCTTTTCCATCACCTTATCATGTTGTAACCGCCTCATCCCGCGGTCGATCCATTCAATTCCGTCCAGGTCATACTCCACCAGTCCACCTCACCGTGACTCCTCCGCCACTTCGGCCTGACGTGCCACAGCACAGCTCTGATCCTTCTCTTCCCCTTTCCACTCCTATATTAGATTCCTTGTTCCCTTCCCTACAGAAACCTCTACCTTGTTAGGGCTGAGATGTTTGCCGTTTCTGCACCTCCCATTGTCCGTCCCATCTTCCGGTGACCATGCCAATCTTTCAATATATGGACCCCGAACGGTCCAGTGACTCATGGTCTGATGACCGTTGTTCAGGTCAACAGACTCAAAATCGAACCATAGCTCCTTGGGAGGACTCTCATAATACTTCCCCTGGGTTGCGCCCCTCCTCCAGGGACCAGTATAGTAACCCCGAAGGTCCCTCGCCGTTCGATGTATATGACGCAAACGACCGCGGGAAATCAATAGAGCGGTTCACAAATGTCGACCGTTTGAAATGGATTTACCATCGTTCCGTATGTCTAGTTATCCTTGAAAAGTCGACTCTTGCTGCAGCTCCTCTCACTGTCGAAAAAAACTCCCTTATTCAACCTATGTAAGGTGTGCAATGATTTACCTGCTAACCTGATGGATACAGCTGGGAGAGGCGTGTGCCAGTCACGAAGCTCCCCCTTATATTCCACAAAAATACTCCGCTATGAGGGATCAACTAATAGAGTCAAATGATGCGAGTAATCAGCTCCCTTCAGACGACCAACAGCTGGCGTCTCCTGCCGATATTGAGCGCCCTCGTTCGGCACTACACTCTGGGGATTTCCGAGAAGGAAGCTCACAGAATCACATCCGACAACAATCACAAGACCCAGCATCGCCTAATTTTTCTCACGACGTACACTACTCTCCTCTCAGCTCTTCTCCAACTACCCCCTGGTTCAGCACAGCCGTGTTCCCCGCAGCGTCTGAACGACCAATCCCGTCACATCCTCCAACAAACCCGGCAGCACGCTCTCGTGCCCCCTCCTTGGGATCGTTCTCATCAAGTTATATCCTCAAAGCGCCCACGAGTCCACTTGTGCACCAAGCCAACATTACAGATCTGGACTTTTCACCACGACTGGAACATGCTGGTTATATTGGCTCCTCTGAGAAAGCCAGCCGCCGGCGGACCCTTCCTCCAGAGACTTTTCGAGACATGCAGATTCCTGATTTTACGCATAGACAAGGGACGCAGCTTCATTCGGACTTATCGACGAGGGAATGGAACAAAGCCTTGGCCCATCAATCCCAACCACCAAGACGGTCTTTGAACTCGGGTTATACCCTCCAGCTCGCTTCGTCGGTTCAGACAGCGCATTCCAAATTTAGGCGACCCTCTATTGGCGCTGAGGTCTCGTCTAGAGCATTGGCGCCCATGGTGGGCTCATACGAGGAGTCCATCCTTCGAGGAAGGATGTCGACGAACCCCTCCAAACCGTTGGACTTCACTGCACAAATCGGGGTTCTGGGTAAAGGCAAATGTAAAGGCAGCCTTAAGTGTCCGCCCCATGTCACGATTCCATTCCCTGCCGTATTTTACAGCTATCCCACCTCTGGTTGTGGGCGTTCAATATCGGACGATAGCCCCAGTCCGTACGTGGGCATGATTGACCTTGATAGTTCCCTTCCCAAGGACACGTCGAGCGACAGTCGACGCCGGAAACACCGTCATCAAAGCCCTGGGAGCATGCATAATGACCAGCACATTCGATCTCCACTTGACACAAGGTCGAATGATCAAGAGCTTGTACGTATCTTGGAGAAAAAGCATAGAAGGGCGGAGTCCCCCAAGTCGCCGCCGGGCGGTTGTTATCGGATCCCGCAGCAAGGTCAATTACAGGTTATGATCAAGAATCCGAACAAAACTGCCGTCAAGCTATTCCTTGTTCCCTACGACCTTACTGACATGGAGCCCGGAACTAAGACGTTCATTCGCCAACGGAGCTATTCCGCAGGCCCTATAATCGATATGCCCCTGAGTGCGCGAAAAAACTATGGGACTGATCGTCCCGAGGCATCCTTGAACGCCTCAGAAGACCCAAAGGACAAGCCAATTCTACGTTACCTAATTCATTTGAACATATGCTGCCCTTCGAAAGGTCGTTTCTACCTGCATTCAAGCATCCGCGTCGTCTTCGCCAACCGAGTCCCCGACGGTAAGGAAAAGCTACGGAATGAAATCCAACTTCCTTACCCCCGCTATTCACCCTACAAGGCTTCGCGAGAAGCTCATTCTGTGCACCCGAGCTCTGTGGGCGAGAAGCGGTCGCGAAAGCCAACGCCCGGCCATCTTTCCAAACCTGACCTTCACGGCTCTGCCGAGACGTCTCACCCAGGCTACCCGTCCCATTTCCAATGCGATCCGTTCGCGCGACATATTCCGACTCACGAAGTGTCCACTCTTCCAAGTGACGAGAACCTGGCTGCGCGCGAGTCGTCGCCACGTCCTTTAGCGGCCCGCCTACCTACGAGAAGGCACGTCAGTCCATCTTACGCAGACGCGGAGCTGCGCAACACTAAAGCTGGGCCTTATAGCAAGCTTCATAGGGGCGAGAACGGCTACGGCGGTTATTCGCCCGGTGGAACTGAAGCCGGTGACAGTCTCCTTGCACAGCGACTAAGGAGGCTGGATGTACAAAGACATAAACACCTCCATCCCCACTGATTTGCTCCCGACGGGCTAAGCGCTGATGTGTATAATGGTCTGTGACCGTTACAGCGCGACCGGTAATATCTAGCATTATTCCACTCTCTACCCCGCCCTTCGAAGGGCGTTGTGTACCCCAATTTACTTCTGGGTGCCGCCTTGAAATCACCCTTTCCCCGCTAACAAGCAGTTCATACGAATGGGATGCAGGCTCATCTCACTATCTGACTGATCCTATCAGTGCTCGCTTATTTCCTCTGCTAAAACCCAACCCGGCCCAGAGGGTCCTACTATCGGACTAGCATTCTATACCCAATATGTCTATATCTCTCATAATTCCTTTCCTCCCGAGTCCGTCACCACCCTGCTTGCTCAGGGGTATCCAGGTGGCGTGACTCGAAGTGGGCCATGCTCCCTTGTTTGTTCTTTACTTAACGCTGGAGGTTCCGACGAGCCCCATGGTAATAGCAGCTCATTCTCAACAGTGCCTCTAGTGTGAGTAGTGTATGTTTTATAAGTCGCATGCTTTTCACCGAGTGATAGGGGATTTACGTCCCCTGTTGGTGCGCGATGCGTTTGTTCGAGGAATAGATGACAAATCAAATTGGATTCTTCTTCCTGCAGCCTATCGTGGAAGTAAGTAGTCTTTCCTTCTGTGATGATAAAGGTCTGGAAAGCGGACGATGTAAGAGGGCATATTCAAGACCAAAAAAAAAAGATTGGATTTAAATAGAAGCAAATCTATCTACAAGATACGGCAATAAAGGAGAAAGGGAACTTCTTGCCTCTCCCCAATGCTACATCTACCAAATCGAACCCGAGTAGCGCGGAGTATTTATCGCATCCGTCAAGGAAACGAGGTTTGAGCTGGGCGTGCGAGGATTCTAACCCGCGTGCTCCACGATCTCGCTGACCAGGACTCCATCCTTGACGTAAGACTTGATCTGCTCGGGAAGCGGGCACTCCTTGGTGTCGTCGTCGGTGCCCTCCTTGGGGGGCAGCATGACGTTGATGGCGGTGGACTTGCTGGAGAAGACCTCGGTGGCCAGGCTCTGCTGGCCCAGGTAGACGGTGGCGCCGTCGACCTGGTCGAGGAGCAGGGTAGGGACGACGCCGTCGATCTGCAGGGCGAACTTGGCGGACTTGATGACGTCGAGGCTGCTGACGAGGGAGTCGACGATGATGGACAGGCCGGTGCAGTTGTCGATGGAGATGGCGTTGGCCTTGTTGCTGACCTTGATGATGGTCTTGTTACAGCGCGAGATCAGGATCGACTGGTTCTGCTGGGCGTGGATCTCGACGATGCCGCCCGGGTTGTCGAAGTGCTCGACGAGCCACTTGTTGCCCTCCAGGTCCTTGCGCGGCGGCTTGCGCGAGCGCATGCTCTCGGGCTTGGGCTTGGTGCTGGGCGGCGCCGGCGACCGGGCCCGCGACGTGGGCGAGGAGACGGAGCTGCCTTGCGAGCTGGGCCGCTCGGGCACCACGGAGCTGCTCCGCAGGCTGGGGTTTTTGTGCGTCATCTCGGATTTGTCGACCTTGCGGAGGCCGGAGGTGACCGCGTCGCCGCGGTTCAGTTGGTCGAAGACGGCGGACATGTCGGGGCTAGAGCCGGGGGCGCTGGAAGGAGGGGGGGGGACGCCCGGGGGCGGAGGGGGAGGCGGGGGAGCGCCGCCATTGCCGCCAGAGACGTTGATAGTAGGTACAGGGGGAGGGGGAGGAGGCGGGGGTGCGGTTCTACTTTCGCTGGGAGAAGAGGCAGAGCTGCTGCCGCTCTTGACCTGGCGGAGGGCTTCTTGGGCGTCGATGCCGTCCTGGTCGTTCCAGGTCAGACCCTTGGGGTAGTGCTTCTTGAGGTAGGCGGCGAGCGATTTGAAGATCTGGTAGTAGGCTTGAATGTATTGGACGTGGGTGCGGTCCCTGGAAAAGCAATGTTAGTAGGGTTGCCAAGCTGGCGTTCTGGGTGAAGTACGTACTTCTCCTTGTAGTCCTTCAGCACTTTGTTGCCATAGTATTCGATGCCGCCAACCATTTCAGTGACGAAATCGGCAGGCTTGCTGGCGAAGAACCAGCCAAGAGCAACAATGCCCTCCGCCACTGCGCTCAGGTGGTTGAACAGATGCGACGCCCGGTTAGACTCGCGAATGTTATTGATGCTGTCCGAAGCATTGTGAAGCTCCGTCATGAGCTCCGGGGGCTGCTGGTCGGGCTTCTTGGCTTTGGTCGAGACGTAGAGGTAGGTGCGCTCGGCTTCGAAGGCCTGCTGAACAGCTCTCGACTGACGACGAGCTTTAGTAGAGAAACGCAAGTGGGTCACATAGCCCAACGTACCTGCTCGCCGACCAGTCCATTGATCTTCTGTCCCAATTCCACGAAGGGCCGCACATCCTCGTGGATAATTGTGTCGAAGTCCTGGATCTGTGGCGGCACGGGGGGAGCCGCGGGGGTAGCTGGAGGAGCCGGCTTCGGCGTCTCAGGAGTGGCCGTCTCAGGCGCAGCGACAGCACTGATGGTTTTGGGCGAGTTGGGGTCGTCCAGCGACATCGCCATATCTTCCAGGCGGGAAGTCGCGGCTTCCAGCCTGTGGTGAGGTATACATGGTCAGATCATGGGGACCGTACGGAGATGTGAGATAGTGAGGGACATTAGATGAAGTGTGATGATTGAATTTCCAATACATCCGGTCCTTGAATCGCAACATACCGCTTGATGAGGGTTGTGAGATTATGCATGTGGCTTCCTGACGCCATCTTGAAAGCCCCTGTTGAAGTAAGGAGGCAGGTATCGGAGAATACTCAGGGAGAGACTAGGTCAGAAGGATACGGGTTGAATGCAAGCTGTGCAATTCAAATGATGAAAAGCAGCAGCAGCAGAAAGAAAAAGAGAGAGTTAGGCTGCTGAGCAGAAGAAGGAAAATGCTGTGGAAGGCAGCAACAATTGCGAGTGAGTGAGGATGTCAGTGGGATGATGTTGATTCATGACAGATGATGCTCCCTGAACCAACAACCCCCCCGGGGCCCGCGGTGCCTGAGGCCAGAGCATCGGGCGGTGGGCCCAGCCACAACTTACCGTAACTATGCTGTACTGTACTATTACCCTCCGGTAACTTCTAGCGGCCAACGCTCGGTTTCTGCGCAATGACGTTGCTGTATCAGCCTGCTGTATCAGCCCGTAATCAATCCGTCCTTCCTTCCGATAAGGGCCCAAGAAATCATACTACTCGTACTGTACAGAGTACAGTACAACAATAGTACCTTGTAACTTACTTCCCCTCCACCCCGCCCATCGCATTCTACACCAGAATATAGACAAGTTGAGATAGAGACAATTGTCTTCTGGACACAATGGCAGGCAACAATAGACTCTCTTCTGAAGACAATGTCGATTTTTGCACTCTGGGCATGTTTATCCTTGGTACGATAACTTACATCACGTTCGTTGACCACCATACTCGCAATATATACTTACTGGAGCCCCCCGGACAATTGTAGACGACATTGACTTCGAAGGAACAAGACCTCCCGTGAAGAACGTCCTTGGTGGTGCTGCATCTTATGCAGTCATTGGCGCACGTCTCGTTGCTGGGAAAGAGTATGCGCGATTCGTGAGCTGGATTGTCGATGTCGGATCCGACTTCCCCGCAGAGGTTCTGGACGTTATCAGATCCTGGGATACAAACTGTATCATAAGAGAAGATCATGGACGACTTACCACAAGGGCCTGGAATGGCTACGGGCCGAACGAAAAGAGGGGTTAGTGCTTTTGCATTTGTCGAGCTCATACATGACTGACCCGCTGCTCTAGATTTCAGGTACTTGACACCTAAATTGCGGCTAGAGCCATCGATGCTATCGGACTCACAAGTGCTTTCGAAGACCTTTCATATGGTCTGCTCCTCGTCGCGCTGTATGTCTATCGTGCAGGAGATAATGCGACGTCGGGAGCAGTTACAACAAGAGGGCAAAGTGCCCTCGTCGGTCTCGGCCACGCAGCGACCTATCTTCGTCTGGGAACCTGTTCCAGACCTTTGCACTCCAGAAGAGCAAGAGACCTTCTTGGCTGCGATAAAAGTCGTAGATGTCGTGAGCCCCAACGAGCTAGAGCTTGGGATGATGTTTGGCCAACCCGGCTGGAGCGAAGAGACAAGCTACGGGAAAGCTACAGTGGAGAGGATTCTCTCCGAGGGCATTGGGCCTGACGGGAATGGACATCTCGTTATCAGAGCCGGTAAAGATGGCAGCTATTCGTTTTCCCGAAAGCAAAGAATCTGGCTGCCGGCGTACCATCAGCCCGATACGTCGATGCCGTCACCTGTGGTCGATCCCACTGGGGCCGGAAATTCATTCCTGGGTGCATTGGCTCAGGGAATGATCAGCTCGGATAGGGCTCCAGCCAATATTGTCGATTCGGTGCTCGCGCAATCTACGACCTGGCGAAAACCAAAGAAAGCTGGCGGCGCCCATGAGCATTTCCTATCAGCTCTGATCTTCGCTACCGTAGCGGCGAGTTTTGTGGTTGAACAGATTGGCGTGCCGCAGATTTCTACATCTACCGATGGAAGAGAGCTTTGGAACGAGACTGAGTTCACGGAACGGGTCCGTCTGTACACACAGCGCTTGTATCGAACACTTGAAGAGTCTCCTCAGAAGCACTTGCAGATCAACTGACCGGTTGAAGAACGCCCTTCTATTGTCGTACAGCCCTCAAAAACGATGAAAACCAAACCTATCATGCCACAGGAGACCTTCGCAATTGCCTTTTATCCCACTCGCTTCTTATTCCCTGTCAACCACATTATGAGTCCTGCTTCGAGGCTTGTTGTCTTCTCTCGTGTTCGATAATTTCCCTGCTCCAGCTATATAGACGAGATAGAGTCAATGACCAGATGCTTAGAAACGCTTGACAGGGGATTGGCTGGATTGAACTGACTAGCGACTAGGGAAGAATCGGCCAGGCTCGGGCATCTTGTCGCGGTGCTCACGGTCGGCGCTGATGCTCCAGACAGTAGCAACGATACCAAGCATAGTGGCACCAATGATGGCAGTGTTGAGCTTCCAGTTTGCGGGCTGAGCATACCAGCCTCCGGCGGGAGACCAGACTTCCTTGGGATACCTGCGCGCGGGCCATCGGTCAGCACAACACGGGGGACCTCAGAGGATTCATAGAAGTACATACGGGATCTTTCCGCCTCCACCCATTGTGATTGAGGGTATATGAATTAAGCGGGTTGGGGAAAACGTGGACAATGGCTCGCTAGAAAGCGTTATTCTGGCGGGTTTGAAGCCGAACTGGCCGTCGTTCGTCCCTCCAGTCCCGGTCCCAGACCCCGTGACGCTATGTCTGGAATAGGCTTAGCGCTCCATGGACGACTTTCTCACACGACCGCCAAACCCAAACCCCGTGACTTCCGCCGAAGTTGTTGCTCGCTCAACTTTTCTCTGGCGGCCAAAAGTTCGTACTGACAGCCCGTCGGACGACCCTCTTCCCCCGTTTCCTAAACCCAGAGCCACGACGCAGTCCTTGATTGGATATACGGTCAATCGGTATTCCTTCGGCTTAGGGTGCCTGTTAAGTTCACACAAATCGCACAGATGAAGAGACTGCACCTCCAACGATGGAGCAGTTCGGTCCTTTCGCCGCAGGCCCGGGCTGGAAGTCGACTGCAGCGACGTATACAACACGGTATCCGGTACCAGACGACAACTCCTTTCCCTGTCACGCCTGCTGAGGTCGAACAATCGATTGAGGAACAAACCCCTCTTACGTCAATTCGCTCCCCTCGCTCAAAAGTCACCAAGCACTCCCTCCCTTCTCCGCCTGTCAAGGCCGCACGCGAGTCCGCGAAACTCGCTGCGCTCCATGCACGACTTTACCTTCCTTCACGACTTCCTCTCGAGACCCTTGCTCGCTGTCTTGTGGACGAATCGGCTGATCCCAACCACAACTTCAACAACGAGTCTCTGGCTACCCTTGGTCATGACCTCCTGACCCAGTACACCTCCGAATACCTCATCTGCACATACCCCCGTCTTCCTATGACGGTCATCTTCGCCGCCATGTTTGCCTATGTCGGCCCCAAGACATTGGCTGCCATGTCGAGGGAATGGGGTGTGGAGCTCGCTGCTGCACCTGGTGGAGAGGTCGACCCGGGACACCTGCAGTTCACGAGAGCCGCCCCAGGCGTCGACCCGAACACAACCCCCACCGCTACGAACAGAACTTACGAGGAGCAGTCGACATGGCGGAGGTCGATCACGTCGAAGATCGTTTATGATGATGTTTTCGGCGACCCCACCAAGGCCAGCGTTGACCCGCGGGAACAGCCCCAGGCAACCGACCGGTACGCTGCAGGCGTCACCCCCGAAGCGGCAGCCTCCCAGTTCGTTCGCGCTGTTGTCGGCGCCATCTACCTTCATGCTGGCCGTCCAGCTGCCAAGCGCTTCTTCGAGCAGCACTTTCTTTCCCGCCACCTCAACATCTCTGATCTGTTCAACTTCCGCGAGCCGGCTCGTGATCTTTCCCGCCTCTGTGCCCGCGAAAACTTCGAGCCCCCAGTCGCCAAAATCCTTAGTGAGACCGGTCGCCTGAGTCGGCACCCCGTTTTCGTCGTTGGCATCTACTCCGGCCAGGATAAGCTGGGTGAGGGTGCGGGTTCTAGTTTGCTGGAAGCCCGTTCCCGGGCGGCCGTTGCCGCCCTCAAGGCCTGGTACCTGTACAGCCCGCTGGAAGTGCGTCTGCCCAACTCGATGGAAGAAGAGGGAGCCGCCCCCTGGAAGCCCGTTTACGTGGATCTGGGGGAGGTGATCGTGTAAAGAGGGGGGGTTCATGAGAGCAGTGTTTGGAAACGGCGTCACATTTTGATATAGACCTTGTCAAGGTGGCAATTGACGGCAAGTGCAACATTTACATATTATTCCTACCAATTTCGCAATTTTCGCAAGGTTCTGTACAATACGGGAATTTCTATTTCATCTGATGTTTTTCTATCATGTCGAGTTGTTTTATTTTTTTTTTCTCTAGTTATAAAGCTCGTCCCTTTTTCTTTATACCAATAGAGATTCGCAATGGGAAGGGTGTGTGTGTGGAAGGTTCCAAAGACGAGAAAATTGTTTGGGAGATCCAAGTGGCTGAATCTACATGTACTCAATAAACCCAATGGATTCTATATGTTCACTCTTCGGTCTGTATACTGACTTTGACCCAACTGACGAGAATATCTTCCAACCCAAATGGGTGGAGAACAGAGGTTTCTATCCATCCAGCTCCAGATAGACTCCCACGGCTTGCTCAAGCCTTGATCTCACCCTGCCTCGAGCCCCAGCTAGCGTTCTTCTCCTTCTCCCGCCAAGGTATCCAGATATCGACCATACTCCTCCCACAACTCCTCCACCCCAACCCCGAACAGGCCCCGCCAGAACCCCTCCACCCCTCGCTTTTGCGCATCCTTCCCCTCCTCATCCCCCTCCCCCTCTCCGTCATCATCTTCACCCACATACCCAACCCGCAACAACCGATCATTCACCAGCCCCACCGCCCCCGTCCCGACGCGGACCTCCTCCAGCCAGGCCAAGAAATACGCCGTGTGCTGATACCCCTGATCCCATTTCTCGGGGCGCTCCGCGGCCGACCGCGGCCGCTGCCAGTGCGGCGGCGCCAGCCCGGCCTTGAGGCGCACGAAGTCGGCGATCCCCTCGATCAGGCCCCCGGGAGGTTTTGGGGCGGTATCATCGTCCCTGTCGGGTGATGTGTGCTGGTAGCAGTGGACGAGTTCGTGGGTGAGGACCCCGACGATCTCGGCGCGCAAGGAGGAGGAGGAGTCGGCGTATCGCTCCGTGCAGCTCGCGATGTAGGCGAGCGAGAGGTGGATCTCTTTGTGGTCCGCGTCGAGGTCGGTGCCGGTTGTGTAGGCGACGCCGGGGATGGGGCGGAGGAAGGTGGTGATGGAGCGGGTCGGGGGCAGGGTTGGGGTGAAGGTTATGGGGGTGGTTTTGGGGGGGTTGGTGGATGCTGATGGTGGTGGGGATTGTGGTGGTGGGCAGGTGTAGAGGGTTTGGATGATGGTGGTTAGAGCGGTTTCGAGGGTGGAGGCTAGATTGGGGATCAGGGTGAGGAAGGTGGTTGTGGAGGGGTGGCGGAGGTCGTGGATTTGGAGGAGTTTCGGGGTGGGGAGTGCGGGGGTTCTGGTGGTGGGTGTTGAGGTGGAGGTTGAAGTGGTGGGCTGCTGCTGGTCATTTGAGGTGAGGTTGGTGCTGGTCTCTGGTTTGGTGAGGTTGGTTGGTAGTGTAGTGGCTTGAGGGGGAGGAGGTGGTGGTAATGGTGATGGTGGGATTCGGGCCATTGTGGGAGGTAGTTTGAGCTATTCAGTGTGTTGCTATTCAGGTGAGTGAGGTCTGAGGTTGTTAGTCGACGGTTTTGTACGTCGATTATATACTGTATGGGCTAAATATTGGCGCGTGCGCGCGAATCTACCGTCCTGGTCTCTTAGTAGTGTTAGTTGATTCCTGCATGCAGACACGCGGTAGCATGCCGCCGCATGGTTTTGACAGGATCCACCATCCATCGTTCCTCCGACTCGGAATCGGTTCCACTTGGTGAACTAGACAAGATGCAGCGCCTGTAGTCTATGTACCGTGCACCAGGAAGAATTCTCATGCAGTTCTGCTTGTGGTTTGCCCGACCATGACACGGCAGCTGGTCCAAGTGTCTGCTCGTCGGCCCCCAAAGAATGGCCCGATCCACCCCCGGCGCGTCGATCCGGTGGAGTTGCTGCAGTTTAATCGATCGAGGACTCATGGTAGTCGGTAAAGTCGTCGGGACACATAATAACGTACTCGATTTTGAGAAGGAAGAGGATGCGGTTTATGTCGCAGGCGTAATACTATGTTTCTCTCCTCAAATCAGCTGGTGGTTTAGTTTCAGAGTGGGGAGATAACCCATGGTGATGCCAAACTATATAATGGAGCGGAGCCGCGTTCGTGTTTACGTCTTCCCCCGCCCCTTTTCGTTGTGCAAGATCTCATCGGGCTTCGACTCATACTCTGCATTGCTACACACATACCCGCCAATGATGACTATTATACTCCATAGCGATAACTTGAAGCTCAGATCGTAAAATCGGCGAGCAAGTACTTGCACCACCGTCCGTGGACTTGCGTAGCTGACACTGCAGTGCCGCCTCTCCCCCTTTTATTTCGAGTCCGCAAGGGAGGAACTACCACAAGGGCCTGGGAAAACAGGGAGTTTGATATTATCAAGGCGGGTCGGGTCGCCCTTGAGTCCAGTACGTACTGTACAAGTCTCCAAAGCATCGTCCTGGGTTGGGCAGCTCCATGCTGTGATGGCCATAGTCCTACTACCCAAGCGACTGTACGTATCTACCTAATTACGACTAACTTATATGTAAGTTAGCTGCCATAACAACTCGGCTTGCCCAAAGCGGAGCAACCATGGCTCCGGCGGCGTTGCGGGTAAACAAAGCCAACTGAAAAAAAAAGATTCAGGGACAATAACAACAACAAATCATCATTACAACCACAAAACCCCCCACTCCCCACCTCCTGGCCTCGACAGTGCTCACCTAGATATAATCTCCTCCTCTCTGCCTGTCACACTCGAATTGCTGCTGCCCCTTCACATACCGATCTCCTTGTCAGGGCTCAATTGATCCGTCTTCCCGAGTGGAGTTGAATTCACAAGCGCTTATCGCCGCGGTTGGTCGCTTATCGGCCTAGACTCAGGCTCCTTCCCCTCGATACGACTTCCTTCCCATCTTCAATCAACCTCCTCCACCACCACCACCATCACCACCACCGCACCTCTCCCGACCGACCCTCAGCCGCTCCTTCTTTCCTCACCAACAACCTCGTCGCCGCGACTGCCTTTATTTGATTCAATAATTCGCGCACCTGCCACACGAAGTACACTGTTCTCAGGTATGAATGACCTCGACCTCGCGCCCCCCCCCCCGATTCCTCTCCTCTTCAACTCTCCCAACCTCTCCCCCTCTCCCACCTTCACCCACGTTCGTCAAGCGTTTCTACGAGCGTTCCCATCTTCTCGTTCCACCTGCGATTCTACAAGCGTTCTCCCTGCTTTCTTGTTGCGTTCTTGCTGTTTTGTTGTACTGCACTTGGAAAACTAAATAAACCCTCAAAAACACCTTTTGGATTGCTGTTTTCGTACGTTGTTAACTCATCATGGATGATAGACACTGGAAAGCGGTGGTGACCGCTGCGGTCCTCACTTCAACACTTCACATCGGCGACATTTTGCCATTCCTTGGTGAACTTTTGGTCAAACTCTTTTGGATCCTTCGTACATCCGCGGTCACCTTCTGCGTTTTATTTACTGTTTTCACTTTGTCCGGGGACGAAGTTCGCCGTCTCTTTACCATCCTCCTGAACATCATGGAAGCCAAAGCCTTGGAGCTGGTGGAAATTGCCAGAAACAACTACCTGTCCCTGGATGCGAAGACGGGTGCTTTGGTGGCCTACAAATCGGAGATCAAACAGAGGAATGTCCCTGAAGCGGCGGTGCCGCCATCATTCGAGGCGGCGCGGATCTTCATTAGCTCACCACATGGCAACATCATCACGCCTGCATTTAATATGCTTAGCCACCTGACTAGGCGCTTGTTCATTCAGCGACAACCGCATTTGATTGCAAATTACAGTCGCAACCTCCAACCTCTACTTCTAGAGAGATTAGGTGATAACAGAGAACGCGTGAGAGCACAGGCCGCTCAAGCATTCACCGAGCTCTGGCCAGCTGCGAGCGCCGAGGTGGAACATTATGTTCTCGATACCGCCCTGGTCGGAAGAAACCCCAGGGCAAAGGAAATGGCTTTGATCTGGCTTTCCAACGTAAGTAGTCTTCCTTCTTCTATATACGGCGGGTGTCTGACAGTCTCCTTGTTGTAGATGTCTAGAACGCATGGCCTGCGATTCCGTCAATATGTGGCGAAGCTTGTCAACTGTCTCGAAGATGCGGATCCGGCCGTACGAGACGCAGCGAAGTTGACTGTAGTTGAATTGTTTGGGTACGCTTCCATCCATCTGATCTCAATCTAGCCTGGAGACTAACGAACCCAAAGCGCAGCATCTGGTGCCTCGGCACGCGCAAAAGCAGATCTCATGAATCAGCTTAGCATCCGCAGCGTACGGAAGACAATTGTGAACGCCATCCTCACCCAGATCGATCTCGATCCCGCCGATCTTGAACCCAATAGAGGGCCCATGCATCGAGCAGACCGAATTACACAACGTCCCCATTCTAGCTTAGAGGCTCATCCACGGCCCATGTCGAGGGCGGATGGACACAAACGTCCTATTTCCAGGGCAGAAGCTCTTCAATCACGCCCCCCGTCGCGAGCCGACGGACTTAGCGGAGTAGAGTCTTCTCAACGTCCCGTATCTCGGGCTGAAGGACCTAAACGCCCTATAATTAAAGCAGACCCTCTTCCGCAGCACTCTTCGGAGGGTGAGTTTGCTCCTATCCCGCATCAATAGTGGAAGCTAATATTCTTGTCCAGCTACCCCATTGACCCCCAACGACGGCGACAGCGTGGAGCCACTCAATGTGTCCTCCTCGCGTGAGATCGAAGACATCATCCGCGCCATGGTTCCTCACTTCGACGGACGTGAGTCCGAAGAGAACTGGGCAAAGCGTGAGAAGAACGTTATGCTGCTACGCAGACTGGTCCGTGGCAATGCGCCTGTCGCCCACTCCAATACATTGATCACGGCTCTGAAGTCCATCTTAGACGGTATCTTCAAGGTCGTCAATTCCCTTCGTACGACTATGGCAACGAATGGCTGCCTATTCATGCAGGACATGGCCATATATTGTGGACCCAAGATAGATCCCATGATGGAGATCATCATGCAGAATCTCATCAAGCTGTGCGCTGGTATGAAGAAGATAACAGCACAGAACGGAAAGATGACAGTGGAGACCGTCATACAGCATGTTTCCTTCACCCCTCGTATCTTGCAGCACGTCTTCGGTGCTTCGCAGGACAAGAATGCCCAGTTGCGACTTTTCTCCGCAGACTGGTTCAAAATCATCCTCAACAAGCAGGCGGCTCACAAGTCCTCCATTGAACACGGAGGCGGGCTGGAGCTACTCGAAAAGGCCTTCAAGAAAGGACTCGCAGACGCCAACCCGGCTGTCAGACAGGCGATGCGCGGTACATTTTGGGTGTTCTTTGGCATGTGGCCTAACCAGGGCAACGAGTATGTTAATCACTCTTCTTATCATGTTCGCTTCGACTAACCCGGCACAGTATCCTCTCCAACCTTGACGCTAAATCTCGGAGTCAGCTCGAAAAAGACCCTGGGAACCCCAATATTGCATCCAAGTTCGATAACACTTCTCGTAAGGGCGTCGCAACTGGCACCTCCATGAAAAGTCGATCTGCCCTACAGGAAGCTATTGCGGCACATAAGAAGGCGCATCTGGCACCCAAGCCCATCCAGCAACAGCGCCCAGAATCGGCACAGTCCGCACGCTCAGACACAAATGTGCCCGAACTGCAGCGTGGCCAGCCTGCGGTGCGGTCGGTGCCCGTTGGCTCTTCGGTTTCCTCCTTGTCATCGGCGCCGATGCGTCCTGCGAGCAAGGCTCGTAGACCTGAACTGAGTCGCCCAGATACTGCGGATCCATACTCAGTAGGGTCCAATGCTTCTGACGCGAGCTCAGATGCCCATGCCCACCACACGGTTCCCGCCGCCAGCACGGCGAAGGCCAAGGCTAGGAAACTAGACATTGCCAAGACTCGGACTGCGGAATCTCGTGTGAAAGGTGGTCTACAGGAGAACATGGGCGGTCAATCCTCTGGGGGTCTTCAGGTACCTATTGTTCCCATTGAACATGATAGCCCTGCCGAAGCCCAGTTGGAGAGTCCCCTTGTTACTGTGGTACCAATGCTAACTGCTTCTGAAGACTCCGTCCAGGAAGGTTTCCCCCGCCCAGTCGAGTCTAAGAGCGCTCAAGTTACGGAGCATATCACCGGCGGCCCGAAGCCTCATGGAGCTCAAGGACAAATACCTGAACACACCAGCGAGCCCTTCCCCGATGTCCCCGTCTCGAATCCCCATTCGTACCACTCAGACCTTGCAGAAGGAAAACCCGATAGGCGACTCGAAACAGAAAGACCCCAACCAGACTATCGACTCGAAGCCGAAGGAAGTCCAGATAGGTGCCCCGACGAAGAACGGACTCACCACGAAGAACATCAATCCGAAGAAAAGAAGGTATCCGATGAGCCTGGCAGACAGGCCTCACTGGGTACGCACTTTTCCACAACAGTGAAAGGGGGGGAAGTACACATTTACGAAGACCCCATCATTACATCCGAGAAAGAAGAAGAGCCTATCCATACTCACCAACATGTATCCAATAAAGGAGACGACGAGCCCATTCTTACCCCCATTGTTACGCCTCAACATGTATCCAATAACAGCGCTTTGGCAGAACTATCTATAAATGAATCAGTTCATCGTGATAGTAAGCCAGCTGTGCCAACCTTGCCTTCGTACCGTGGACGCCAATCGATTGGGGCGACAGATTCGACAGCTAGCTCTGAATATCGTCGCCGGAAGAATGATCAGATCGCCGACCGCAAAAGAAGCATCAGCCCCCGATCGAAAGACCCAGTCAAAGCACGAGAAACGCTCGAGAAGGGCATTCAGAAGATTCGGTCCAAGAATATGGACATCCTGGGGTATCGGAAGTTGCAAGGCCTGATCGAATATCACGACTCTATCTTTATCCATGAAGGCAAGTATGACGAGATGCTGCTGGTTCTGCTCGAAGAACTGGAGAGTCCCCCGGATGAGAAGCGACAACGCCTCGGTCGCCCGCTGGACTTGAAAACCCAAGTGCTTCTGACGATTCGCTTCATGCTTGCACACAACAAGCACTTTAGTTCGTCTTACTATCCCAGGGCCATCACAGCTCTCATCGCTGCTAGGAATTATTACGACTCTTCAAGCCACATCATCAACGGCTTGAATGAGACGGCCGAAGAGATTCTTATACAGTGTGAGCCTGAAGGTGTTATCGACGCCGTAACCGACCTAGTATCGACCGAAGATCCGGAAACAGGCGATCGGGCGGTCACTATGGGCTTTTCTGTAATGACGGAAATCTTGAAGGGGATGAACAGCAATGCAATTCGTCTTTCCTGTCGTCTGCTGGAGAAAGTTGGGTCACTAGCTGGCAAGAGTCTGACAGCCCGGCAGCCGGATGTCAGGCGTCAAGCAACACAGCTCTGCGTACAACTGCACACGATGGCCGATAACGATGATCACTTCTGGCAGGTTGTTGGACGGCCTCGCGAGAACTCACGCAACCTGCTGACATACTACATTGCGAGAAAGTGATTTTTTGCTTTCAGAAAGATGAAGAGCCAGTATCATTACTTCCAACTCATTGTTTCTTTAGTCCTGTATTCCAATTGATACCACTGTGTTTTATGTTGAGCGCCACAAAGGCACAAAACTTGTTGTATTAATAGACAATTCCATCCTGAATGTAATCGATACCCACTGATCTCCTGTGCATTGAGCCGAGCGCGACGAGGCAAAACTGTATGTCGTGCCCGAGTACAGCAGTACACAATGACTCGGGCATTTGTAAGGTAGTAAGATGTTTAAATGTGTGGGCTGCATCCTTGAATTCTCTATCGCTAGTAGCAACGGCCAGCCTTATGATCTTGCTACGAGCCTGCCTGCCAGGTTGATTCGACTGGAGAGGGCGGCTGCAAGAGGTGGCCAAATTGTCCTCCACCGCTCATTCAACCTCCTCTTTCTGGGCTTTGTGGGCGCAGCTTAGGAAAGGCACTACTACGTCTGGAGGAACATTAGGCGAGAGGCGATAGACGGGATTAGACCGTGTAGATAGAGAGAGGCATCGATATACTGGGAAAGAGGAATGATCATGGTTGAGCCGATAGTGGTGGAGGAAGAACGGTCAGGTCTCTTGAACGAGCAGGAAAAAAAGGGCATTGTGCCCCCTGATAGGTAGGCTGTGATTCAGTCTGAGCATCCAAGTATGACAACATGAAGCTTGCCTAAGCTCTGCTAGAAATGGGAGAACGGTGTGGTATTGGAACGGGAAACATACGGGCAGAAGGGCAGTGGCTAGAAACTACAAGAGAGAAGGAGTCGAAGACATTCTTACTACGTATAGACAGAGCTATAGGAAAGACCATCTCCTCTATAGACAGTCACCATATATCATATATGTACTGTACCCGAGATTCACTGCAGATTTAATGTATGTAGCTTTGATGTTTTGATATTAATTGGTATAGCACAGCTGCGATCATTCACCCTGTTGATTCCCGAGACAAGTTAAGGCCGCGTGGGTCAGGGCTTATTTTTGGATTTCTAATGGCAACCCCGAAGTCTGGGACGGAGTGGGGGGAGATGTGAGACCGACTCGAGCAGGTCTGATTCATGAGTTCCAAGTTTACTGGTAGGCTGGTAGCCTGGGTTCAGTACATGGAAGCGGGAGTGGCTGAGTATGGAAGTGCCTTATGAGTTCCAATTTAACACGACTAGTATTTCGGTACCTGGTTTGGAATGAGACAATTCCCGTCTATTAATGAATATTTATAGATAGATCAACTATCCAATGGCTGTTGGTTGGTTGGTCTTGTTGGTTGACTGGGTAGCCTCAGGTGTCGACCGTATACATGCACTCCGTGCTCCGTACCATGTATACCGTACTGTATTGTTGTTGTACAAGGATGGTCTCGTATCCTGAGACAAGACAGGGAGACCTGCAAAACTGACCAACTCTGTAGACTATTCACTGCTTGACACCTGAATTCTACCTGTACTCATTCACCTCAGTCAAGATGTATATTGACAATTCAACCATGCAGTCAGTCGAAAGTAGGTCAGTAGGCTAATTGGGAAAATCTGGGGACACGGGCGTGAGTTGTCTATCTGAAACGGGTGGTGTGTTTCAATCGCGGCCTCAAACTCTCTTTCTCTCTCTCTCTCTCTCCCACTCCCCCGTACTCGTACTTACCACTCACTCACTCACTCACCCTCTCCTTCTCTTGTTTTCCTCCTCAATCTAACCTCTCCTCACAATTACTAGCACATCCCGCTGCTTTATTTCCCTCCGACTCTCCTCCCTCTGACTCGATCCCCTCCCCTCCGTTTCGTCCTGACGCATTGAAACATCCGGGTGGTTGTTAAGCATCAGCCAGGCTGCCCCGGATATTCAGCTCTGCGGCCCCCCTGCCTACCTGCTTGCTGCTGCTGCTGCTGCTGCTGCTGCATGGTACGTACAGTACATCTCTTCTCCCCTGTTTGTTCTCTCTCCCCTCTTGCCCCCCCTCCTCCTCCTCGCACCCCTGGCCCGTCTCAGCGCAACTTTCAACATTTCTCGTTCAGGACTCCCCCCCCCCCCCCCCTCTCATCCTACCAATTTACGTTATCTCAAAACTTTTACCACCTTATTTCATCCTCTCCACTATGGCCGTGATCGATCGGCTGTCCGTCCTGAAATTAATTCTTTCTCGTTAGACTCCCTTCGTAAATGAGAATCCATCCTCCATCCTCCAGCAAGTCCGTGCCGCGCTCGAATTCGTCTCCCGGTCCAGCTTCCCTTCGCCTACCTTGTCCCCTCTATAGCTGCAATCATAATTATTGTCGACTCTAAGATCACCAAGTTTATGCATCGGAAGTCGAATGCCTTATCAACTCCCCAAATAAGTCTCTCAACTGGTTCTGGCTTGAGTTTCGCGAGCGCGCCTCCCACTCCTTTCCTGGAGATTTGTCTCTCACGCCCACTGGAATTGGCATTTGTGCCACCATCACCCTTTCAACGGTCGCTCGCTACCCAATAAATCGCATCCAAGATGGAATCTCCGGGGTATCCTGAGTCCCCTTTGGATCAGGACGACATTCCCTTCCCCTGCAAGGGCTGTGGAGAGGTATGAACCCAGCAAAACGCACAGACTACGAGGCTTGGAACTAGGACACTAAGAAGGCTTCTCGCTCAAATAGATTCTTGAAGAGGGCAAAGCCTTTGAGCTTGGTGAGTTTCTTGTTCCGTGGTTACGATGGCCTCTGAGCCGGTGGCTGACTGCCTCCTTCCTTGTGATCTAGCGGGCAACCGATGGCATATCGAATGTTTCTGCTGCAGCACTTGTGGCACGCTACTCGACTCGGACGCGCACCTCCTTCTGCTTGGCGATGGCTCGTTGATCTGCAGCAACTGTACCTACAGCTGTAGCTCGTGTGGGAACAAGATCGAGGACCTCGCCATCCTCACCGGTGAACAAGCTTTTTGCGCCCAATGCTTCCGCTGCCGCAACTGCAAGCGGAAGATCGAGAACTTGCGTTATGCCCGCACCTCGCAGGGTATATTCTGTATGGATTGTCATGAATCTTTAATGCAGCGGCGGAGAAAACGAAAGGCGGCCCCCTCGCGAAAACAGGGACCACCGGGGGTGAAATTAGATAAGTCCCTGCCGTCATTGCCCCCGGAAGAAATGGAGCCAGTCTCGCGCGCCTCAGACGACCAAGAGGCTTATTCCATGCCTAGCGGGGATACCCCTGCGCGAGCTGCTCCCGCGCTGGACGCGGGAAGAGGTCCCAGCTCAACACCTCGTCCCGCGGCAGAAAACCAAGGTCAGTTGGCCTCTGACCTTATGCGCCAACCCGTTATCTCATGGTGAAAGAGAGCTGACCGATGCAGACAATCTAATACTCCCGTCAAGCACCTATCGCAGCAACCGTCATTCAATCGTGCCTCCGCATACCGAAGCCGATGGCGGCGAATTCCTGATTCCCCTCGCTTTTGACCCCTCCGAAGAACAAAGATCTCGCGTACAACCAAACCCTACGTCGGGAGGCTCGTCCCCCCATATCGCATACCAGGAGAAAGGCCGAGAGCGAACTGATGATGCTACTCGTTGGCGTCAGGACGAATTGGCCAACGGCACGTCTCGTGGTGACAGAACGCCTGTCACGCGGTCTGGCTCGGTGCGTAGTTCTCGCTCCGACCTAGGAGGTCGCAAGGAAGCCAGTACATTTTCCTCGCCCAGCCCCGAGAGCACCAAGTCGACGACCACTGTTCCAAGAGATGGCTCAATAGCAACAGCTCCAGAGAGCATGACCACACTTCCACCAAGACCATCTCATGAGCTACGCCGACTTCACGAAACTAGCGGCTCCATAGACTCCGCGCATTCCTTCTTGTCCTCTTCGAGCGTGCAACCTCATCCCAAACGTGGCGACTCCCTCGACCGACGATTGAACCAGGGCCCAAGGAAGGACGCACCTTTGTCACCTCGTGCATCTTCATTGAGTCCGAGTGAGCAGTGGAGTGAGCGATCAGCAGACCGGGCTGGATTCAGCAAGAGTACTCCTCGTACGGGCGACTCGACATGGACGCCACGTAGCGATGTTCATGAGCGCCCCAAGCCTCCCGCACGCCCCAACTCAGTCAGTGCCCTACAGCAAGTTGAATCCTACCGCCAGGGTGATGGTGCGGATCTCTCAACGGACGGAGAGACCTCTCAAACCATAGGTGCCAGTGATGGCTCCGCGGCACAGAACGGCGAATCCTTCCTGCGGCGCGTTTCCAACTCGGTGCGTCATGGTCGAAGCTACAGCGACAAAGGCTCTCGCCTGTCCCGCGATGCCAAATGGCCTCGCTCGCCTGTGAATGGATCTACGCCACTTGCCGACTTCGGGAGCCCCTCTGCGGAGGTAGCCGGACCTGATGAGGTGACTTGGCTTCGCAACGAACTTCGTAAGGAGCGTCAACGAGTATTCGACCGCGAGCAGAAGATTGCGGAGATGGAGGCTATGCTGAATGCTAGCGCCGAGGTCAAGCAGGTTAACACTGAACTAAATGAGAAGCGCTCCACCATGGTGGTCTTGGACGCCCAGAAAGAGATTGCTATGCGCGAGTTGTCCGTGTTGACAGAACATCTCGAGGCCGAGAAGCGTGGTGGCGGCGGCTCTCTCGACCTTGGCAAATTGACTAACCGTGTTTTGCGAGAATTTGTGGAGTCGATTCAGAGGCTGAAGGACTCGTTCACTCCACAGATCGAGGAATTGATTCAGAAGCGCAACGATGCGGCCGAAGAATTGACCAATTTGAACCGCATGAAGGATAAGAGCTTCCAGGAATTTGAACAGTTGTCGTCGAAGAATGCGCAGCTTGCAGAGCTCAACAACCAATTGGTGCACCAGATCCAAGAACTCTATAAGGCCAACGACGGTAGCCGTGGAGCAAATGGCCTGGGTATCTACTCCCATGGCAAGGAAAAGTCACTGTCGTCCATTGAAGCTCTGAAGGCGGCCCACAGCGATCTCGTTCCAGTCACGGCTATCAACCTGTCGGAAGAGGCCGAGAACGCGACTATTGTGCCCGGCCCGCAAGTCGTCAGTATCCGAAAAGGACAGCCGCGTAAGTTTAATTGGAAGAAGGGTGGTCAAAACGTCGCCAAGGGCGTTACCAAGGGACTCAAGGGTGCCTTCATGTCAAGTGAAAATGCCACTGCCACGGAAGGAAGCCCTGGCTTGCCGCGTTCTCAGACTCAAGACCCTAGCCGTCCGGGTTTCGGGTTCTTTGGCAATCAACGCAGCAAGCAGGTTGGAACTCGGATGCCGACCACCGATAGCGTTCCAGCTCTAGCTGAAACCAACCCTAATGGTACGTTGCGCTCACTCGCGTTTGTCATCATATCATGCTTACTTTCCCAGCGCTCTTTGGTACCGAGTTGGAGCAGCGCATGGAGCAAGAAAAGAGTATCATTCCTGGCATTGTCTCTCGCTGCATCCAGGAAGTCGAGCTACGAGGTATGTTTCTTCGCAATCGGTTGGAAGGCCTGTACTGACTCTGTTAGGCATGGACATGGAAGGTATCTATCGGAAGTCCGGTGCTAGCTCGGCAATTCAGACGATTCGCGAGGGCTTTGAGCGATCCCCACACGATTACGATATATCTGATCCGGATCTTGATATCCACGCAGTGACCTCGGCACTAAAGCAGTATTTCCGCAAGTTGCCTACGCCGCTTATCACATTCGAGGTTTACGAGAACATCATTGAGACGGGTGAAATCACCTCTCAGGCGGGTCGCATCGAGTCTTTGCAAAAGAGCCTGCGTGAACTGCCACGTGTGCATCAGGATGTGCTTGAGTTCCTGATCTTCCACCTGAAGCGCGTGGTCGAGCGCGAGAAAGAGAATCTGATGACCAGTCAGAACATCGCTGTAGTGTTTGCCCCAACCATCATGCGGCCGGAGAGTCTGGCACGGGAAATGACGGATGTGCAGAAGAAGAATGAGGTGATGAAGTTTTTGGTGGACAACTGTCAGGAGATCTTCATGGGCATGCAGAACTGATGACCTTCAGCCATCATGCATACTCAGGCCTGGTCCTCGCCTGGTCCGGCACCAGTGCCGGCACTGCTTGACCGGCCCCCCTGGGGGGGAAAGACCCTCTGACCCACTCTCCTCGACGCATTGGTTCATTTGTTTAGTTTAGAATACCCTTCCAGTTTCCTGTCAATTGCGACGACAAAACCTTTGTTGTACATACATATACCACGTTGGCGTGGACGATCTGTGTGTCCTTTTCCTCTTTCTTGTCTACCACCCTTCTCTGACAGTCTGACGATTGTCATCGTCATCAGCCCCCGTCGATACCCTTTTTTTGTGTCTATTCATCCTGACCTCACACCCTCTCAACCCTTGATTTTGTAAACTGATCACCCTTATTTTCTGATCCCTGTTTTTTTTTTTCGTTATACCTTTCCTTTCGAGTGATCCCGCAGGTTCGAAGCTAGTTTACACCTAATTTGCCGGTAATGGCAGCCAGGGGCGCGTGGTCTGGTGGCGAATTGGGATGCCCCAGACCCCACTACTAATTGATCTGGTCACGTTGGACCGCTTGGAAAGAATTTTGATTCCAGTGTAGAGATGGGAGGAAGCGGACATTGCGTGACTAGATAAGAGTCTTGGTCTGTAATGTTCTACGCCCAGCTGTGGAGGAAGATGATACTTTGCCCAGTGACAATCCGTGATAGTCTGTTAGGGACGACTGCAAAGGGAAGCTAGCTACCCAGCGACGAAGCGCGAGACAAGTTGGGTTGATTGATATATACAGTATAGCACACTCAAGTCTCTCTGTAGCAGAAGCAGCCGCGCATGGCTATGGCTAGTGGTATATGAATTTCGAGCCTAGAAAGTCTCATCCTCGAGCTTCTCCACCCGTCGGATCACGCTCGGACTCTGCTCCTCCACGATATCCTCCGTGGTATCGTTCGCGCCGGCGGTGAACAACAAGTCTTCCACGATCCGCCTGGACGCTTCTTTCGCTGTAGTTTTTGGGGAGAATTGCGGTTAGTTTTGATGCTTTACCGTACACTTTCTTCTGCTTGCATGTTTGAATGATTGGAGAATACTAACCAGGAGTTTTCATCAACCGACTCTGCGGAATGTGGAACTGCATCGTCTTCGGCGGGCTGGGACCCAGATCCTCGTCCTCGTCACTGAATGCCGCACCGCCGCCGTAGCCGCCGCCGTAGCGACCACCAACACCAAGATCATCGTCGCTATTCCACCCTTCCGCGCCTCCCGGCCGACCGGTCCCACCCTTCATCGGGGTGAGGACACTCATGCCGGGCTTGGGGGTCACGCGGGGATAGTACGGGTGGTGGGCGCTCGGCCGCCGCTTGCTGCGGCTGGTGTTGGGCGTTTGGGCGGCCCCGGTCCCTCCTTTCAAGGGGGAGTCGAAGATCTCGGCGTGGAGTTGCGGGGCCTCGGGCTCCGGGCTGGAGATCGGGGAGGAGTCGAAGGAGTATTTGGATTTCTTGGCGGGGGGTTTCTGTGGGGTGGTGGAGGAGTTGAACATGGGATTGGTGAATTTGATGGATTTTGAGGTGGAGAGGTAGTGTTTGAGTGGTTGCCGTTTCTTGGAGAGTGGGGTGGCTTGCACGCGGTAGGTCTTGTCGTGGAAGCGGTGCAGGATGGGGTCTTCGTGATATTCATCGTCGTCGTTGTTGTTCTCGTAAGCTTCGTGGGTGGTTGTGGGGGCGGGCGGGATGAAGGGTGAGGAGGAGAGGGGGGTGTGGGATTCGTCGTGGTGGTAGGGGTATTGGTGTTGTGGTTGTTGCTGCTGTTGTTGGGTGGGGCGGTAGGTGCGCGAGGCCGAGGCCGAGGCGGAGTATTTGCCTGGCGTGGTGGGGAGGAAGGAGTCTTCGTTCTCTGCGTCGGCGAGTTCGGCGGCGCGGGCGAGGTCGCGGGTATCACTGTCGTCGGGCAGGGAGTCTGGGTGGAGGTCGTAGGGGGAGGGGGAGGGGTGCGCGATGGAGGAGGGGACGGTCGTGTCGTTGGCTTGTTGGTTGCCGCGGTGGTGGTGGTGAGATGCGTAGGGACGGGGGGTGCTGTGGGAGGAGAGACTGAGGGCTGTCAACTCTAATTCGGGTTCGTGCTCGCGGTGGTCGTCGAGGCTGAGGTGCGATTCGTCTTGTTGCGCGGTGAGCTGCGTGTCTTGCTCGTGCGCGGTGAGGGACTGGTCCGAATCCTCTTGTAGCGCTGTGGTGGTGTCTTCGGGTTTCTCCTCATAGCCGGAGAGAGAGACGTTGGCGCTGGCTTCGAAGAATTGTTTCCAGAACTGGGGTTGATGGCGCGTTAGTGATGGATGGAGGCGGCGATGTGGGGGTGTCTATTATATGCCATACCTTGGCACCTTCCCAAACGTCACGGGAGCTCTCGGAGTATTGTTCGATCAGGGGTAGAATGCTGGTTGTGACGATACGGTGGGCTTGGCTGAAGTTGTGGTCGATCTCTGCAGGACAATGTCAGTCGACTGACTGGTTGGAGACATCTGATGCGGATTGGCCATAGTTACCCTGCAGGGTGAGCGTGATGGATTGCTCCAGCTTCTCGAGCTCTTCCGTGAGTGTCAGCGGGCGCTGGGCCATAGACGACGGGCGCGACATGGTGAAGTGTGCAATGGTCGGTTTGTAGTGTTGACTGGTTCGATGGAAGGAGTGCCTGTATACAAGGTTGTTGGTTGCTGGTTGCTGTTGTTGCAGCTGTTTGTTTTGACGGACCGCGGAGGGGCAGCAGCACGTGATAGCCCGCTAGGGCAGTCGGATAAGGGCAGCTAATGTCATGTGGCGGCGAGGGGGCGGAAGCAACAGGTGATTAACTACCTTACTGCTGCCTGCCTACTTGTTGCTATCTGACTCTCCCTTACTCTCGCCGACAAATCTCGGGTCAAAGGTGTTCTGTCGCGATGCCTACGCCCGTTGCGAAAGGTATGCTTGCTCTTGAGGGTCATTTCTTTCCCCCTTCTTGTTGCAAGAGAAGAAGAGAGTCAGTTATCTGGGCGGTGTGTGCTTATCAGTTGATGATGGATGACGATGGATGAGATGTCCCCGGGTCTAGCCGGGGACAGCATTCCTCATTTTGTCTATCATGTTTCCTACTCAAAGTTTCACTTACAGATTCTGCTTTACATGGAAAGGTAGCCTGAAATCATGATACTGACACGCCCAGGAATTATCATCACCGTCTCGGCGCTGGTTGCCGCCGGGATCGCGGTCTACGAGTCGCCGCAGTTCCGCCAGTGGGTGAACAACTCGCGCCGCAAGATCGCACTAGCTTTGCACAATCTGGGCGACGAAATTAACCCGCACGATGCTCCGCTCAGACAGGATATCTCGATGACCGAGGAAGTGGGCGCAGCAGCCGAAGAACGGCGGCGCATAGCTCGGGAAGAGCTTGACCGGCGTCGCTCCCTGCTCGAAGAGCGTCGCAAGAGCATGGTCAGGCCACCGTCAAACAGCTTTGATACTTTGGTCGATGAGCAGGGCCGATTGTTGGATCTTGCGGATTCATCGAGTGATACGCATTTAGCCAACTCGACTGCCGTGGAAGTGGCGACGTCGCAGCCGGTGCACCGGGGCAAGGTGCCCCAAACCTCGCTGCTGGAAGCGTCTCACGGTCAGACAGATGTTCGCGAGACAGGTCCATCACTGCAGCTTGATATCCCGTCGCCTCGTGCCGGTTCGCCTTCGCTGGCTGAGTTCACTCCTGTCTCGGAAGCTCCTGACAAAATGGCCGCGTCGCTCCTCTCGTCGTCCCATGCAGAGGACGAACACCATGTTGTCGGAGATGACGAGTCAGACTCTAGCCATACGGAAGGTCACTCTGAGGTGCTCTTCGCTCACCCCGGGGATTGGACGACAAACGAGTCCGGGCGCGACCTGAGATCGCCCTTCTCGGACTTGGCAGAGCTGCAGCTTGAACGGGAGCGCGCCTCGACGCCGTCTACCAGCGATAGCTACAGCCACATTTACGAGTCTGCGATCGACGCATCATCCGATGGCACTTTGAGCGAATTGGGCCGGTCGACTGGCGCGGCCACCCCGGCCAGTTGGTCGGAGGTGGGCAGTGTGATCAGCAACGAGGAGCACATGCATCACTTGTAGGCAAATTGGAACAACAACTCAGGGTATCGTATCATTAGTCGGATGGCGCTGGAGGAAGGTATTGGCGTTTGCTTCTCTATTTTGAAGGTGTTAGCTTAGGACAACGGAACTGCCAGGGTCGTACACGCGCCCATGGCCTTAGCTGTAGATAAATTAATTGCTGGGAAAAAATGGGATCATTTTCTACACATGATTATCGGTGAGTAGACTCAAAAAGGAACCTCGGGTTATTCCATTCTAGTCTGTGGCAGATTAGTTAGTTGCTCTAATAAGGAGTTAAAGGGTGCGGAGATATAAGCAGCGCAGCAGCTGCGGTGGCCAAAGATGAGCCTCGGCTGTTGCTCGGTTGGAGAGGTTGGGGTAAAAGTAGGTAAGACATCCATCGCATTTCAACTCGACACCTTCCCCCCCTTTGCTTTCTTCCTTTCCTCTCCTCATCAACCTGATTTACCCAGTGATCTGAACTCTTCACAAATTAACAGATTAATACACAGTAAGTTTCCCGTCCAGCTTGAATTCGAAGACAGCATCCGCGATGCAGCAACCACACTTTCCCCGGATCTCCGTCTCCCACGCTCCACTTCCCTTTCATCGTATGCGTCAAGGGATAAGCTAGGCTAAGCTACATATGCACGAACGCTGACACCAAACCCAGCACCAACCATGGCAACAGACCGTCTGAACAACATCCTCAGCCACCTGAAACCGTCCGGAACCAGCGGACTTTCAGCCATGTACTTCCTCCTGTCCTCCTTCCCTCGAGCAATTGGTCGTACATTGCGACATTGCGAATCCTGACCGCTGACGAACCGCAAACCAGCACCCAGAAGAACCCCGACGATGTGGTCATCACTCTGGCGCTCCGCACGCCGCTGACCAAGGCCGTCAAGGGCAGTTTCAAGGATACGGAGCTGGACTACCTGATCTACGCGTTGCTGAAGGAGGTGCTGGCCCAATCGAAGATCGACCCCAGTGTGATCGAGGACGTCTGCTTGGGGAATGTGCGTTTTGCCTTGCCCGCCCACCTCTTCCCCCCCCTTTCCCAAAACCTCGACCTACCTCACCCCGCTTTCCAGTAACCCACGATACCCCAATCAACAGCAAGAAATAACCAAAAAAAAACTCACAGGTCAACGACGGCAAAGCGGCCTACCTGGTGCGGGCGGCCGCGCTGGCGGCCGGAATCCCGCACACGGCGGGGGCGTCCTCGGTGAACCGGTTCTGCTCGTCGGGGCTGAAGGCGGTGCAGGACATCGCGAACCAGATCCGGCTGGGGGCGATCGACGTCGGGGTGGCGGTGGGGGCGGAGCTGATGTCGGCGCCGAGCGGGGACCGGATCCCCAAGCCGTTTCATGCGGAGGTCATGCGGCATCAGGAGGCGGCCGACTGCATGCAGCCGATGGGCCAGACGTCGGAGAACGTCGGGGCGGACTTCCACATCTCGCGGGCGGAGCAGGACGCGTACGCGGCGGAGTCGTTCCGGCGGGCGGAGGCGGCGCAGAAGGCTGGGTGGTTCGACGAGGAGATCGTCCCCGTCACGACGCAGGTCAAAGACCCCAAGACCGGGGCGGTCAAGACGGTGACGGTGACGCGGGATGAGGGCGTGCGCTATGGCACGACCAAGGAGAGTCTGGCGAAGATCCGGCCGGCGTTCCCGCAGTTTGGGGATCGGAGTACCGGGGGCAACTCGAGTCAGGTGACGGATGGCGCGGCGGCGGTGCTGCTGATGCGGCGGTCCAAGGCGATCGAGTTGAATCAGCCCATCCTGGCTAAGTTCTGCGGCGCCACGGTGGCCGGCGTGCCGCCTAGGGTCATGGGGATCGGGCCGACGGCGGCGATCCCCAAGCTGCTGGCGCAGTTTGGGCTGCGCAAGGAGGAGGTCGAGCTGTATGAGATCAATGAGGCGTTCGCGTCGATGGCCGTCTACTGTCTCCGGAATCTGGGGCTGGAGCACGAGAAGGTCAACCCCCGCGGTGGCGCGATTGCGCTGGGCCACCCGCTCGGGGCGACGGGCGCGCGACAGATCTGTACGATCCTGAGCGAGGCGCGCCGCACGAAGAAGAGGGTCTTGGTGACGAGCATGTGCATTGGCACGGGCCAGGGGATGGCGGGGTTGTTTGTGAACGAACAAGTTTGATTTTGTTTGATTCTGGTATCGTTACATCGTGAGGATTGAGTGAATCTGGAAGATATCTGCAGACAAAGAATCCAAGCACCCAAGCAGACTTTAAGCTCTACTGCCCATCCCTCTCCCTTTCCCTCTCCCTCTTCATCCTCTCTTCCGCCGCTTTGGCCAAAATCTCCCTCATACTCCCTCCTCTACCTCCACCTCCAGTACCCTGACCACTACTTTCCCCAACAGACCCCCCATCCGCCCCCAAAACAAAACTTCCCCCGGTCCACCCCTTCTCATCCACCACCAACCCCTCCCGCTGCACGGCCTCCCACTCCCCGGGGTTATAGAACTCATCCCCTCCGGCGCCACCAGCATTCGCCCCGAGCACCCGCCCACTCCGCGTATAATCCCCCCTCTCGACCTCCCTCTCGATCCGGGCCGTCAACGCCCAGAACAAGCGATCATGCTCACTGTGCACGCAATGCGCCAGCTCATGGCACAGCGTCTTGCGGATCGTCCGATAGTCGCGGTAGCCGTCGTAGGCGTCGGTGCGGAGCCGCAACTCGATCACCTCGCCCTTGTTGCGGTTGAGGCCCAGAGTCCGCGAGTGGGCCGTCGTGTGCTCGACCGGGTCCATCTCCGTGAGCACGGGCACGGAGAATTGATGGAGGCGCATCGCGGACCGGATGCCGGGGTCGTCGCGGAGGCGCGCCAGGAAGGCGTGGCTGCGCTGCGGGTTGGGGAGGTGGGCCAGCGGGACGAGTCGGTGGAAGGTGTATTGCGAGGTGGGGTCGTGGCTGGAGAGAGTGTGGATGCGCGAGAGCGAGGCCGAGACCGCGGACGGGGTCGCCGTCGCGGCGTATTGGGCGTGCGTGGTCAGGCGGCGGTGCTCGCGGGCGGCTTGGGCGGCGCCCTGGGCGTTGAGGGTCGTGACTTCGGGGACCGGCGAGCCCAGGATGGTGAGTTTGAAGCGCGGCGAGGTGAGCGAGAGGGTGGTCGTGAGGGGGAGGGCGGCTTGTGTGGCGGGGAGGGGCGGTTTGAGGGTGCCGGGGATGAGGTGGCGCGGGGGCGGGGGGGTGATGAGCAGTTTTTGGTGGGAGGCGGGGATGTTGAGGTGGTGTTCGAGGTGGAGGGTTAGATCGTGCAGGGTGGCAGTTGCGGGGAGGGTCAGGGTGTGAGGCGTGTTGCGGTGGTGGATGGTGAGTTCGAGTCGTTGGGGATGTTGATGCTCGTCGGTGGTGTTGTCGGGGGAGGTAGGTTCGCGGACGTCATGGTCTCCGGTCGGTGCGGTGGGCGTGTCGGACATGTTGGGGGTTGTGGTGAGCGATGGTGTGGTGATGAGAAGGAGGATGAGGGGTATAGTAGGGATCAAATCGTAGTGTAAAGGTTATAAGACAAGAAGAAAGCGACTCCTCGACTCCATGATGGCGGGATTCGATCTTCTTCGATGCGATTTTGTCAGCCAGATAGAAAATCACATGGAGATAAGCACAAGCACCGTTCCTGTTAGTAAGCCGTTCCTGTGGTCCTGCCTCAGGCATGCCGAATGATCATCGCTGCTTATTCTGAATCCGATTACGGGTAGGCTGCCCCGAAGAGAGTTCCAATAATTAGTGCTTGTTTGAGATGTTCCCTCCAGCTCCACATGTACACGACTGGACCGCCTCTTCATCGGCTCAATGGTACGTGCTGTATGCAAGACGACTCGATTGAGTCTCGGTATTCAATTCACTTCACTAGATCAATTACATAGTATTGACTGGCCTGTATAACCCTATAGACAACCCAACGCCATCCCATTTCATCCAGAACGCCCACCAACACCCTTTTATATACCCCAACAGTATGCCTGAATGGATGCATGTCCCAGCGATGACGAGAAAAAAAAAAAAAAAAAAAACCTCAAGTGAATATATACCTTTCCACGACCAGCATCATTCATACTGCCGGTCGTCCTTATCGTCTTCCTTCTCCTTCGGCTCCGGCTCATCCATCAACCATTCTTCGCGTTCAGGATCAAAAGTATGACTGGCACAGGAGGGGTACGTTTAGCAACCGAGCATCCAGTTCTTGATTCCGGAAAATCCACTCACTCATGATAATGCGTGTTTGTCAACGCCTTCTTCGAGTACTCATCCTCCAAGACCTGGTCGTATTTGAACGGCACCTTCGCCGGTACCCCCTCAAAGGTCGTCCGGCGCAGAGGATAGATATCGTCGGTCTGGTATTTGTGCAAGTTCTTGCATTGCCACTCCGTCGGCTTGGTCGCATCCAGCCGGCTCAGCCCCGTGATGTCGATATACAAGCCCGTGTTCATGTCGATCCAGCGCGCATCGATGATGTTGAGTCCCTTGCCTCGATCGCGTTGACGGGCCCACGGGTTCACGTCGACTAGATACTTGCGCTCCACATTCTCCTCCTTGGCGGTGTACTGGACGACGGTCTGGTTGAAATGGTCCGCCAGTTGAAAAAGCGTGGGTTCCATCACTTGGGTGTCAATATCCCAATCCCAAGGCATGACCTGTATCCTACCGTGAGTTTTGATTGCCAACAGGAAGCGCCACGGAGAGGCAAGGGGTCTTCTTACCTTTCCGTTCCACCACCACCCGAGAAGCGTCCCATGTGCGATCCACGTCTCGAGCCCATTGTCCTCGAAGAAGTTCAGATATGCGCGGACCATGTGCGTCAAGGTGTGGGACCGCTCCTCGTCTGGGACGGGCTCGGTGAAAAAGCGAGAGTCATAGTGGCCGAGAATATCATCGTTGCCCGGTTCCTGGTAGTACTTGAATTCCTCCGATCGATTCAGTCCGTATTGTTCATATAACGGGTCCGGATCGTTGTGATTCAGCAGCTTGCCATAGGTGTGATGAACCGCCGGTTGCGGTTGCGAGTTGGGCACAGAAGTTACTGTTGTGGCCGTGGCGAGGGACCCGATCGTGCAGACGACGGCCAGCAGGCCCTGAGGCTTCATCTCCGGCAGGTGAAAGTGAGATGCGATAAGGGGTGTCGGGTGTGGTTTTTGATTGTGCAATTGCCGGGGTTAAGGAGTGCCAATCACGCTTCTGCATGCATCCTGGGTCGAGGCGCAAGGAAGGGGGGGTGGCACGTTTCGCGAAGCGTGTTAATCTCTATATTTGTTGAAGGGAAGGGAGAAAGATGAAAAGGAACAAGAAAGGCTGCCGCCAATGCGCCGAGGGATGAAGTCCACACACACAGCGCTATGATCGCATGCTCTGATTTAGATCGTTCACGGTCCTTGGCCGCTGGTCCCGGAGATAATGGCACCTTCGGGTTCGGTTGTCCGGGTTATATTGGAGTTGACCAATGACCTTGTAAAACACCGACTAGGGCAGAGTAAGGTAGGTTCACGTCAAGGGGGAGGGGAGGAGGGGGGAGAGGAGGGGGGACGGAGGAGG